CAGCTACTCGGGAGGTTGAGACAGAAGGATCACTTGAGCCCAGGAGTTTGAGGTTGCTGTGAGCTAGGATGATGCCACGGCACTCTACCCGGGGCAACATAGTGAGACTCTGTCTCAGAAAAAAAAAAAAAAAAATCATTGAATTTTTCAAATAAAAGATTTTTTAAAGGTAAATCCATGATGAAAAATACCATTATGGTATACATTTGATGCATAATTTGGCTTATAGTGTATTGTTTCCAGGTTGTATTTAAATTTGTCTCTTTGCTTTACTTTTTTTTTTCTTATTGGATTACATTTTGAGTAGTTTTAAGATTACATTTAAAATTTGATTATTTCTTATAATTGGCACCTATTTAATCTTTGTACTTTTAGACAAGATGATAACCTCCCAGCATTTTGGGGAAATTTGGAAGTGTTTACTTCTGTTTTATGTTGTTGGACTCAGCTGAATGAGTATAATTTAAGAGAAAAAAAAGTAATGTTGCCTTTGATACAGAATATAAAATTTTCTGTTTTGTTATGTGCCTGATATGATGCAATTAAAACATTTTTCATAAGATTATCAAATAAAAAATGTGTTTTTAAAATTTCTGGTTTTTATTGGAAATTAGTGGGTTTGCTTATTTTCTGGGTTTGTTGTTTGTGATGTTTTAAACATTTCTAGGAGTGGCACAGAAAGATTCTTAGTCTGATCTGTTTTTAAAGAGAGTTTCAGGGTATCAACCCAGTATAATGTGCTCCTACATTTCTGTAGGGCCTGGATCCCTCATTTTGTGTGTGTGTGTGTGTGTGTGTGTGTGTGTAAGTAAGTAACTCCTTTTACCCTCTTGGCCTTCCTGTCTTGACTTTTGTGTGCATTTTTCTTTTGTTAATAATTCCTCTTCTTGCTCAGCCATTGCTTATAGTTTTTTACTGTACAATTACTCAACTCTTAACATGGCAGGCTGTCTCTGTGTCATCATTCTATTCTAACTTTTCTTTCTTCAAGTCTACTTAAGACTATATCTAGGGTTGTATTATTTAATACTAATTTATTATCTATATATGTACTTTGCCATTGATAGTTGAAACAGCAACATGGATTTTAATATTAATAGATGTAAGTATTGTTGGTTTTATTTTCCAGGCCAGAGATCCTCAGCAAGAGCCTATGGAAGAGATAGAAAATTTGAAGAAACAACATGATTTATTAAAAAGGATGTTACAACAGCAGGAGCAACTGAGAGCTCTGCAGGGACGACAAGCTGCTCTTCTAGCTTTGCAGCATAAAGCAGAGCAAGCTATTGCTGTGATGGATGATTCTGGTATGCCATAGTCTTAGAATGTTGTTTTTATAAGCAGGGCTCAATAAATAATTGTATTGCAAGGTGGATGCTGGTTGTTATATAATCAGATATTGATTGTTGACTAGTTTAGAAACCTACATGTGAGGCTTACCCTGTCCTGTGCTTTTCTCTGGTTATGCAGAAAAGGTTGCAGGGACAACTCCTGGCCATCATACTGTACGGTGCAGACAGCCAGCTTGCTCTCCTTTTCATCAGAGAGTACCCTTAAGAGGTAAAAGCGACAGGCTGTAGTTCTGTTTTTGTACCTCAGACTGATAGGGCTCTTGATGCTTCTATGTCCATTTTTTGTATTTTATTCATGTAGGATTGTTCTTTGCTTGTCTCCCATGGAAGAGTTAAAACCTTAAGTAAGGCAGTGAATAATTTTATAGAGCACTTTTAGTGTTCAAAGTTTGTAGTATCTGTTATTTCAATTAGGTATCCAATTGTATATGCTAGCTCCTTTGAACTATATTTATGAGGTTTGTCTGGAAAGCATCCAGCCATTGTTAATATAACGAGAATATTATGGGACATAGTTGTAACCTGGCAGCCAAGGAGAGTGGACTGTGATGCCCATGCGTGAACAAACGATGACTTCACTATACTAGTCAGCGGGGTGCTAGACGCTGTTGAGTGAGCATGTGTACTGTGTGGCCATTACATTTAAAATGACTGAGTAAGTAGAGCAATGAATCTGTATCAGATTTTACGTTAACTTTGAACATTCCTCAGTGGAAACTATTTGGATGATTCAGAAGGCTTTTGGGGACCATGCAATGAGTGTAGCACAAATAAAAATGTGGCACAAACACTTCAAAGATGGTCGAGAATCTGTTGAAAGTGATCCATGTTCTGGAAGGCCTGCAACAAACAGAACACCTGAGAATGTTGAACGTGTACGGGTTAGGTTAAGAGATGCTGGGAGAATCGTATAAGGTCTCAAGGTACCTACTTTGAAGGGGACTGAGGCGTCATTGTCCTATTTACAATGTTTCCTGTATCTTGTATCTTCTTAAGTAGATGCCTCTGTTTTTCATATCACATGGCTGGATATTTTCTGGATAAACTTCTTATACTGCTTTAGGAATATGAGGGCTTTTTCTTTTTTTTAATTAAAGAGATAAAATGCAGCCTTCCTGAGACTTGGAAATGTTCTTTTCTTCTTCTTCCTTTCATAGCCATGTATGGTTTACGTGAAAATTGTATTGAATTCTTTAGTATTGAGTCTAATTTTGTAAGTTTGTCTCATCACCCTCAAACCTAAGTGTTTTAATTTCTCATTAAATTGAAAATAAGATTGTAACTTACTAAAGCTCAGTAAAACTAAGTTATGTTTTCTAGTAGTTATCCCACCATTCCATTCTAATAATAATTTACCTTCTTCGATCACTCTATTTTTGCCAGTGAGTTTGGGTCCTCACTGAGGCTGCCCTCACTAACATTGTTAATCAATTTGTCCTGCTGTGCAAACCTAACCCACTGGCTCAGCTGTCTGATCATTCTTAGATCTAATTTACATTTGCATTTTCATAAGGAACTTTATGACTTTCAAGTAACTTACTCTTTTGTAATA